CGATTCCAATACTTTACCTTACACACTAGGTGTGTGCGGAAAAGTAATAAATATATACCCAGCTAAATTGGCTTCAATTCCTGGACCAATATGTTGTTTGGAAAGCGGGATTATTTCTGCTGGAACTTTATCATCATTAAAATCAATAGGCTGCGTTAATTCTAACAATGCCAAGTCGCCCTCATTATTTGCACTATTATAGAAGTCATATCTAATTATACGTTTGACGCAATAGCGTTGGAAATCTTTTGCGTCACTTGCATTCTTGGCTCCAACAACGACAGATACATACAAATTTTCTTCTTTTAAATTCCTATAATCATCGAAACAATGGGCTGCCGTAAGAATAAAGTTTTCTGCTACGATGGAACCTCCACACTCATGAACATGAGACGTTGCGAACGATGCACGGGATTTGGATACCGAGGCGTAGTCATATGAGCAGGTTGAGTTTGCAAGAGGACTTATTTGAACGGATACTAAATATGGAATCGGGTTTGATAGACTTCCTGCAATGATTCTTGGATCTTTATATGAAAAGAAGATAAATAAATCGGATAATGACTTTTTTCTCAACTGTTAATCTGTTGAAAATTGAACTTTAACTTGTGGTCTAGATTATGTGTAAATATAAGACTGGCCCCCAAAACACAAAAGTTGAAAAACACATTCAGAGCCATTTTATTCATATCTATATGTAAAAATGTTTGATTTTTTAGTGTGCACTTTTTTTTCAAAAGAAAACTGCTTTAAAAGTCATTTATCACCTAATCGAAAAATTCCTAATTTTGATAACTTGATAACACTTGAACGGCTTGATAACAATTGTTAAATTAGCCGACATTAACAGTTATAACAAATCACTTATTGACCGACTGTTGAAAAAACATTCTCACAATTTAAGAAGAGAGACATCAACAACAATTTTTTCGCAAAACACTACATTTAGCTGATCACACAATCAGCTGATCTAAGGGAAATATCACTCTTAAAAACTTATTGTTCACTGACTTAAAGGTATGAATATCCGCGGTACAACACAAATAATAAGATACGGTTTGAGCGACTGAATCAAAACGAATTTCTGAAGAAAAAAAATAAAACTTAAATAAATTTTCAAGAGTGATTTCTATCTCGATTCACCACAGTTAGTTAATGATCAAAATTTTTGTCTAAAACCATATGAAACTTTCACAAAATTAATCATTCTCAGGAAAACCAATCACTTTTTCTTTATTAAAATATACTTTGAAAATAGCACTGATTTCTAACCAATAACAATTGCACTAAAATTTATTCTTTCCATGCAACATCTTGAACTTACCTGAATTGACGAAAGAGATTAAAGTGACAGCACATATCACAACAATAAAACTTGTAAGAGATTTCATTTTGATGACCTAACTTTATAGAGCTTTAAAAGCAACTGAAGACATTGGCTTCTTTCATACTCAATGCGTTGGTCAATTACTCATTTCCTTAAACATCGGTTACGATAAACTTTTTAAACAAAATCAGCTGCAAACACATATTCGCATTGTCATCACTTTTTACTGCGTATTTTCACAAACAATCAGCAAAATATGCTTATGAACTTTATTTTGTAATGTAGTTCAAGATTATTATAAATTTGTTATAGTTTTTTTTCTCAGCAAAAAAGTATGACAACAACTAAGCCGAACAACAAACCTGATGTATCACTAGATTTTGATGAAAATATTCTCTTTCTCAAGTTCAAAAAAGCAAAATTAGACAAGAATTTTATTCAAAAATATCCATTTTTTTGTAATTTAATTGGTTTGTCTTTATTGATTAAAAAAATCAAGTTTGGAAAATAAAAAGGAAGATATTGTCGTGAAAAAGTTCAAGAAGTAGGTTTAAGAACTCTGTATTACTATTGCTATTAAAATTCTTCATCAGCCAGTCGTAGAAATATTTGATTTGTGAAAAAATAGACTTACATACATATGTATATTAAAATGCTCATTGCTTAGTTAAAAAAAAATCATTTTGGTCCGTGATAAATTCCTGCGAATAGAATTTCTTTAAATTTGCGATCGTGAATCACGAACATGAATGGACGATTACACTTAAATACTACCGATTTTGGCCTTGAATGAATTGAATGTAACGGCATACCGAACAGTGTTGCAGCTGACGCTGTTGAACCTTCTTCATTTACTTCAATTTTCGCCTTATGTACCATTTTATTATCGCCTGTTTTAACCGAAGCTTCAAAGAAACCATT